TTTCTTGGGACCTAAACCATGCCAGACGAGGGAGTAAGCGGGCAAATTCCCAGGACTTCTCAAGCGACACCGAGCCGAAACCGTACCAGAACAGGGCCAAACCAGACAATTTGCGAGGACATCTCATGTGACACCGGGAGTAGTCTTGGGGCGTTTTGGAGCATTTGGGGAGCCATCTCGAGGCATATTTCGCTTTCTTGAGCCCTTTTGGAGTTCATCTTGGGCTTTGTTGGGGCCATCTTGTGCCATCTTGGACGCCCGGAGCGCCCCGTCCAGGTCCAGGGGAGGGGGTAGGGGGAGGGGTCAAGACTCCCTCCCCGCCCGCAAGCCGTTTCGCTCATTCCCACCCGCCCTCCCAACACATACGTAGTACCCGAGTTTGGCCCGAGCCTCAGCATATTCAAAAGTCGTCGTTGGATGGGCAGCTACTGAAAGCCAATCCGCCGCCGCCGCCGCCGCCGCAGCCGCCGCCGCCGCGGCTGCCCCCCGCCGCCGCCGCCGCAGCCGCCGCCGCGGCTCACCCGCTGCCCCCGCCGCCCCCGCCGCCCCGCCGCCCCCGCTGCCAAATCGCCGCCACCGTTGCCGCTGCCGCCACCGTCGCCGCCGCCGCCACCCCGCCGCCGCCGCCGCCGCCACCCCTGCCGCCGCCGCCGCCCCCGCCGCCGCCGCCACCGCCGCCGCCGCAGCCGCCGCAGCCGCCGCCGCCGCCGCAGCCGCCGCAGCAGCCGTCGCCGTAACCAAGGGTACTGTGTTGTGTATCGTTTTTTGACAGGGATTGCGGGGGGAGGCCGCATCGGGTTGGCTGCGCATGCCTTGAATTTGGAGGCAGGGTGTGTTTGGTATGTTTTTTTTTTAAAAAAAAACAAGGGATGGTGGGGGACCCTCATGGTTCCTGGTTGGCTACCGGTCGCCTGGGGAAGGGTGTGTTTATTACTAGGGAACAGTGATAAACCCCTCCACGAAAGGGAAGAAGGGAGGTGGAAGAGGAAACGCTCTAGACCACCAACGCCCAGAGGGCTGGTAGGATTCTGAGGACGTCTCAAGCGAAACCGGGCCCAAACCAAGCCAAACCGGGGACCAACCCGGGCAGATATTGAGGATGTCGCACGCGGGGCACGCGGCCAAACAAAGCCAAATGAGGCCAAACCAGAGGCCAAACCCGGCAGATTTCGAGCACGTCTCAAGCGCAGCTGAGCCGAAACCGCACCGCAATATTGCCAAACCAGGCAACTTGCGAGGACGTCTCAGGCGAAACCGGCCCCAAACCCAGCCAAACCAGGGCGAAACCAAGCAAATTGTAACGACGTCTTGTTGAAATTGGGCCCACACAGTGCAGGATCAGGGGCCAAACCAGGCAGATTCTGACGACGTTTTGGGTGAAACTGGGCCCACACCAAGCCAAACCAGCGCCAAACCTGGTAATCTCCGAAGACGTCTCAAGCGAAACCGGGCCCGAACCAGGCCAAACCGGACGCCAAACCAGGTAGTTATTGAGGATGTCTCAGGCGGGGCGCGCAGTCCAACCAGGCCTAACCAAGCCAAACCAGGCAGAGTTGCCAAAACCAGGCTCCCTCAATATGCTCATGAAAGGGGTGGAACACCCCAGGATCCCCCGCAAGGGGAATCCAGTTCAGAATTTTATGGGGGCGCGTTTGGACCGCGCGCCCGCTGATGTGGGCGGGGTTGGGCGCAGACGCCTTCATTTGTTTGTCGGGTGTTGTTGGGGCCTTGGTGTGGCGCTCAGGGAAATACTTCCCGAGCCTGTAGCATGTCCTGCTGCGTCTCATGACTCTCTTCCTCCTGCTCCTCCTCCTCCTCCTCCTCCTCCTCCTCCTCCTCCTCCTCCACTCCCCATCGTCATGGGCACGCGAGAGGGCCAACAGCTGCTCCCCTCGCACTGACTTGCAGGGACTCGTACTCACAAGGTAACGATCCTCTCTTACGGGGCCGCGTCGGAACTCGCCCCTTGGAGCTCGGGGTATGCCCCCTGCCAACCTTCATGAGAAGTCTGGGTCTGCGGCACATTATTACTCGCAGGGAATTTTGCTAGTCGTACTCCGCAGCTCATTTGTACGCGTGACGACGTTGACCCCCTCATGCGGATGTTCTGTCCTGTCCTGTCCTCCTTCTCCTCCTCCCCTCCCTCCTCCTCCTCCTCCTCCTCCGGGGACGTCTTGTCTGTCATTGGGAGGTTTGGGGCCATCTCTGTGCCTTGAGCAGGCATTGCCCGTGGCCGCCGGGCCTCCAGGCCCGCTCCCACGGTGGCAAGCGGCACCGCAGTGGTCGGCCGATGCGGGCCCGTCGGTCGCTGAAGGTAGACATTTTTGGGAGACCTCGCAAAGGGGGGGGTGCCACAGGGGGGGGAGTTCGGTCAGTTGGCGCATCGAACCGCAGCAAAAACAACGCAAAACGAGATTTCCGCTCGCCGCCAGAATCTGAGAGGCGTCGACAATCGGGGCGCGCGGGGGACATTGTTTTTCGGAGATTCGATGCACCAGCGGATCGACCCCCCCCCCTCCCCTCCTCAGGGTCCCCCCCCTTTTGGTGGACGTCGATTTTGGGATCCCCAGATCCCAATCTGCTTCAAGCGCTTCCCTACTTCAAGACGCGGTGTGCTTCGTTACTTCTCTGGGAGGGTTTGAGCCCAGTCTCCGTCATTCGCCTTCCTACTTCATGTTTTGGGGGTCTATAATAATTTGTCTTCCGATCGACGTGCAAGAGTGGCCCTTCGCAGGAGTGACTTGTGGTGCGGGCCCACCGAGGTTGCGTAATGGCGGGGGGGCGATCAATGGGGGTTAGAAAAATAGGTGCACCTTTTGTGCCCTGGAGGGGCCACCTGGGGCCCAAAACGGGGACGAAAGGTTGCACGTTTCCCCCCCCTCCCCCATTGATCGCCTCCCCCCCACCCCTCCAGTAAACAACGCCCGGGGCCCACAGGGGTCCCCTCGAAAGCCGCGCACCAAGGGTGACTCTTGCCTTAGGGCAATCCAATTGAGCTGCCGCGCGATTCCGCCTCCGCGTTCTGGCGGGCAAGGGGGCCTTTTTCGGATGGCGGGGGGGGGGGATGGGGGGGAGGGTCCACGAACGTCGTTTTTCCAACAGCTTTTTTGTACTTGGGACACTTTACGTGCCTGGCAGACCAGAGACGAACTGCCTCGGCAACCACACTGCACGCATCTTGGGCTCGACGCGTCGGGCGGGCCCCGGTCCTTCCTTCGCAGAGGCGTATGAAGGGCCCGACGCACACCAACCGCGGCAAGCGCGGTGGCGGAATCTTGCCGGGAGGCGAATTTTGACATCGTCAGCGGGCACGTTGGAACCCCACCAGAGGTTGCCACTTTCGTCGGAGACCTGGCGCAAGCATCAGCTTTCGGAGGTCCGCACTGATTTCCTGGGTCTGCCGCTGGACCCTCCGGCGTTGCCTCGGGCGCCGCCCCTGGCTCGCTCCGCGCGCCAGGGCGGAGGGCGCAGATCCAAGAAGTCCGCCCGCAGGGACCTCCGATATTTCCGTGTGCAGTTGCGCTTGCTCCCTACACGCAAGTAATTCGAAAACCCATCTACAGTTACCTCTTTAGGTCCTCCTTCCTGGCGTGGCATCATTGCCCGCGTCGGGAGTGGTTGCGTTTGCCAGGTCGCTGGCCAAAGTGCCCGTTGGTGGAGTCCCTGTCAGGGGGGCGCTCGGGTGGGAATTGGAGGGGGAGGGAAGGGAAGGGGGCGAAAGAGGACACTGGTCGGGTGGGATGAGATATGGGGGGGGAATCGGCAGTTAGAGGGTTGCGACATTTGCTGCGTACATCTGCTTTCGGCCCCGCCGCCAGGCGTTTTCTTCGATACATTGGACTTCTGTCGTCAAGATGCGCAGAAGAAACCAGCTGCGTGAGCTGATTCTCTAATCCCCCTTATGATATCCCCCCTTTCCGACCACCCCGAGTGGGGAGGGAGGGAGGGGAAGGGGTAGGAGGACACTTAAGGCGTTCCAGAGATGGCCTCGCCTTCGAGGGGTCGAGAGGTTGACATTGCTTCGGCGGATACGCCGGCGGCAGGTCGGAGGAAGATCGGCGGAAGTCAGCGGAAGTTAGAGCGAGACGCAAGTAGTTTGTATCCAGGGTTTCCGGAGTCGGCCAGATGTTGGGCGCACAGACACACACACACACGCACACATATACATAGACGTCGCAGGTGCATGGGGCATTGGAGGTGTCGGGCGGGGCTAGGACGAGGATACGTAATCCGTTCAAGAGCGTTCCAGAACGCTCTCAGAGCGTTCCGGAACACTCTGAAAAGGCCGCGGCGCCCGAGACATCCTCCAGAGCCGCGGGGTCTCAGAGATTCTCGATTTATCATCGTCCTGATTTCGTCTTAAGGTGGGAGAGTGGCAGGACTTGGGGGAAGTGTGAGGGGACAGCTCTTTTTCACTACACAGGGCGATCGCCAGAAATCGGCATTAACGATCTCACGGCCTGGCTCCGCCCGTCAAGTGGTCGCTAAAGCATTGGCGCGTTTGGGACAGGCGGGAGGAGTAGTTCTTGGCTTCTGGATTCCATCCCTCAAGACACTCATGTTGGTTCGAAGACACGCCCCTGATTATGACAATCCAGGCGACGCGATAATTCTTCTGCGGGAATGCCACTTTGCTACTATCATGTGTTACGTTATACAGATCGGCCCTCAGTTTCCAAGTTGGGCAGATCTACACGTCAGCCCACACAGTTGCTAGTCAACTTGTAGACGTCGCGACAACAAGCAGCAGCGAGCGATGCTCGAAACAGGCAGGCCCATCAGCCACCATGATTCACGTATTGTTCTGATTGCCGCCGTTGTTCCCAGTCCAGCGCTGTTGTAATCACGACAGTCTCTTGACATGCTGCTTCATCATCGCGCTTGCCCGCCCAAGGACCACGCATCATGGATCACACTGCCACCGTGGTCACTCGAGCTCCATCTTTGAGTCATGCATCAGATGTGCAGGCTCGAGGATCACGGGGCAGTCCTCCTTCCAGGCTGCACAGCAGAGGGCGTCTACCATGGCCCCCGCGCCCTACGCCGGGGCCTCGCACAACAAAGTGAGCAGGACTCTCCGGGAGACCTCCAAATCTCGGGGTGGACGAGCGGGGGGGATTGGCAAAGGGGGGGTGACGAAACTCGCCGCGTGCAGCTGGCTGCGGCCCCGCCGCCGAGCACTCTCCTCGATACGCGGGCTCCTCCAGGCGCCGGGAACACCCGCCACCTGGTCTGATTCGCCAGCCCACCGCTTTACTGTCGTCCGGCCCGGAACCCCGCGAGGTCGACCCCACAGGGGGGGAGCCGTGGTCCAACCATCCCGATGCGATAGGTCCCCCCCCAGGGGTCATGGGCAACGTTAGGGATAAGTCGGGCATGTTCCTCTGCAGGAGGCATCAAGAATAGTAGAAGAATAGTCTGGGGACGATGTTTCGACTATGTTTGAGTTATGTATGAGTATGTGTTTTACTATCTTACATTTTTCTTCCACAATCCGCCTGTAGGAGGACATACCCGACCTAACGTTAGGGGGGGATCGGCTCAGGGGAGGGGGAGGGAATGCGTCGACCCGGGGCCCGATTGCACACCCCGCCCAGGAGCGCGGGCGTCTGCCACTGGGGCCCGTCGCCAACCCACGGGTGGTGCATCGCCGATTCGCAGCTCGGTATCTCTCCCCCAGAGCTGGTCCCCACCCTCTAGTTGCCCCCCGGGGGGGGGGGGGGAGGAGGAGGAGGAGGAGGAGGAGGAGGAGGAAGGAGGAGGAGGAGGAGGAGGAGGAGGAGGAGGGAGGAGGAGGAGGAGGAGGAGGAGGAGGAGCAGGAGGAGGAGGAGGAGGACGAGGAGGAGGAGGAGGAGGACAGCGCCCCCCCCGCTGGCTGGTCGGAGGAAGTTCCTGGAGACCTCCAAGTCCGCGCGGTCGACGCCGCTCCTGAACAAGCGGCCCTGCGCCCCCGGAGCCGAGGCGCTCGCCCCCATCCGAGAGGACGCCCTCGACATTGTGGAGGCAGCCCAGGACCCCAGCCGGCGAGCAGGGGTGGAGAGGAGGAGGGCAGGAGGCGCGTCGAGCACGAACGATCTGAGGGTTCCACAGGTGTTTTGGGGGAGGAGGTTTTCCAGGAGGGTTCTCCCAGGGGCCTCGCACCCCCTGTTTCGACGAGGTTCCGAGGCCCCTTGGGGGGCTCTCTGGAAAACCCCCTCCCCCACAGCCCCCTTTGGAACCCTCCGGAACGAGGTCTGCCGATGGCTCCAGGGAGAGCTCTTCTCTCCCCCGACGGCCCCGGGGACCCACGCGAGCGCCCGGGGCACCCTGTATAGGACCCGCCGGGAGATCGACGGCAGGCGTGCCCGCCAGCTTTCTCAGAACAAGACCTCTTGTCGCAGGCGTCTGCTGGCGGACGAGGCGGTGCAGGAGGGGGAGGGGGATTGGGCAGACCTCTCTTGTGCCGCGGCGGAGGTCTGTTGGACCGAATCAACAGGAGGGACGGCGGGAGGGAGGATGCCGCGATGGCTGGCAGAGGGGCGGACGATGGGGACGAAAACGAGAAGCCGGACATGACGCGGGAGGAGGAGGAGGAGGAGGAGGAGGAGGAGGAGGAGGAGGAGGACCAGGAGGAGGAGAGCCAGGAGGAAGATGTGTGATTCCTTGGCTCAGGATGAGATGTTCCGGACCGTCTCACAGGACTTGTCCATTCTGACGGGCAAGCCTCGGAGTACTTCCAGAGCTGCGCTGGACGCAGTAGAGAACGACCGAGAAGAGGCTTACGCACTTCTGATGTCCTGCGCTTACTTTGCAGCTGCTGTCTGTTCTCGTGGTTCTGATCAACCATTTCCTCTTGATTAGTTGTCCTATGTTGCCCAGTGAGTCCCGACCTGTGCGCGAGCTGGCCGCGAGTGACCTCGTCCGATGTGTAGCTTCAGTGTTTCGTTCTTCATGGCAATGGTATTCTCGACCTTGCGCTCGAGATTCCAGCGTCGCGTGTACACACTATTGTTCTGTACGGCAGCCCACTAGATTGCCAATCACTGCTCCGTCCAGTGTCATGTTTGTTTCTTGTTGTGTGGTGCAGGGATGGAGCGTCGTCCACTGTGTGTCGGTTCTGCCATATCCTGTCTGGAGGAGTGAAACGTAAATACAAGCCCAAACCACGCAATGCTATCGATACCCTGCAAGGGTGTTGCATTGAGGCCGTGGTAAATCATGCCAAGCTGGCTCGGATTTTCCATGAGATCTTGGGCAATAGTATCACGGCGCGGAAGACGTGTTTATCAGAAGCCCACTGCGCAGGCATTGCAGCATGCATCATCTTACTCAAGTGGATTCCGCTGCTTGCCTTGCACTATTCCGTAGGGCCCTCCACATGGCGTAACTGTTGCGCAGAAGGTGCCGAAGATGGAGGTCGCGCGGAGGCCATGCTTGCGGGAGGCTGGCCAGTATCTGTCCCGGTGTCAGCCAGCTCGTATATCTCCTCTCCGCCCCATCACCTCATTAGGCAGGCATTGGCCCCCCCCCTATAGAGGGGGAGCGGTGGGAGAGGGGGGCAGCCAAACATCTCACATGCCTTTTCACCCCTCAGCCGACGTTGGGCGACGGATCGGCTCGCTCGGGCTTGACAGGCATATGGAAGTTCACGTAAACGTAAGAATATGTACACACACCAGGGTGGCACATGTAAGTTGATGCGAGCATCGGCAAGCGAATACCAGCACCCAGTACGCAAGCACATGGTATTTCGTGGTAGCACCTTGTAATCAACCTTCATCAGGTGCCATCAAGTGTAGACAAATGTCAGCATGCGTACGTAAGTGCGGATACACCAAGTGCCAGCACGTGCGAACATGTGTTGGCATGGGGCGCCATCTCCAACTGCTCATCGGTCTTCTCTGCGTGCGGGGTCGTCCTTAGATGGAGTCCACACCAGCTGATATGCGGTAACGGTGATGCGCCTCTCATTCTGACAGCAGATGTCACACATGTTCTGAAATCATGTTGTGGCCAGCCAGCCATCGATCCTTCAAGAATTGCTTTGCGACGAGAGGGCCGTGTATACACTTAAGACGCATTGCCACAGTGAGTTTCTTGTGTGCCCGTCTTGTCGGTGTGCTCCCAGGTCAGACCTGGCGCTCACTGTGGTCGATAGCTTGCCACGTACATAGCTGCCTGAGATTGTTGCTCGCGGCCGTTAGGTTTGCCGAACAATTTCAGCAATCCGGATCTGCGAACGATGATCGTGCGAATAGTTTGCGGTTGACCACCGAGCTTGCAGCCCGCCGTACACCGAGGCCGTGTGAGATCGCTCCACTGGATGCTGGTGAAGCCGTGTGGCTAGATAGTGAGGAGAAGGTCGCGGATTTTCGTGGAGTGTCCAGCTCTGCTCCGCGGTTTGGATTGATGCATTCGACATGTCATTGTTCGGCAGTCCGTGATCGTACCGCCATCTTCCATCATTGCACACCCGCTTCTCTGGCCAGCACCCCTCTACAACGAGGAAAGCAACAGGAAGGGGCAGAGTGATAAGGATGACGTGATGACTAGATTGCCCGTTCCAGAAAGACCCCCACCTTCGGCGCATCCTCGCTTTCGGCGGAAGCTAGCGGAAGGCTGGCGGAAGCCCGCGGCAGTAAATAATGGCGGGTCCATTGGCGGGAGTTTGCGGAAGTCGGCACAGAAGTACAATTGAGCGGGCACCATGGTTGGATTCAAAGATTTCAGAGTCGGTGACTTGCGCAGCACGGCGAAAGAAACAGGTTTGGACGTATGGGGCATTGGAAAGGGGGATGAGTACATAGGCTGAGGTTGATCTCTGGACTATCTGATCTCAGACTCGTCCATTATGCCAACGTAGTTGCAGTTGAGTTTATTGCAGGGCCGATTCACCAGGTTGCTGGTAGCTTCTGGACCTATCGTGCGCCTCTGGTGTTAAGTCTATCGGAACTGGGAGCTCGCCCTGGCGTCTCTCGGACCCCATTGCCGAGCATGCCCATGCAGCCTTGGCAGAGAACGCGAAGGCAGATGATGATGAGGAGGGGGAGCAGGTGGAGGAGGACGAGAGGAATCAAGAGGTGTGGTATGCAGACCAAATCGTTCGTCTCCCTCTTTCTCCGTCCTCAGCCTCCTCCCGAGTTGTCCATCTCTCTCCCCATCCTTCTCAATACTCGACCACCAGATTTGTCGAGGGGTGCGCTTTCACACGAATTGCGAAGGGGGATCCAGCCGCTGCGACGAGAAGCCCCCCGGAGCACCAGAAGGGGCGAAAGAGCCTCCGAAGAGCCTCGAGCCTCGATCCTCTCGAGCCTACTCCCTCGTCATGAGCTCTCGCCCTCGAACCTCGACCCCTTCCCTCCCTGCAGGTCTCCTGCCCGGGCGCGTACGCAGACTGCTCCCTGCTGCGGGTGGCGCACGGGCGAAACGAGGACCTGCGGCTGTTTGCCCTTGAGCCTGTGCAGGCGCCGCCGGCACCCTGCGCTCATCCCAGACATCAGGTGGGTGCAGGAAATCGGGACGGCCAGCTCCTCGTCAAATCGGACCCGCGGGAGCCAGTTTTCGGGCCCTAGGTCCATCAGTGATCTCAGCAGAACGATTCCCGAGGAGAAGGGCTGGAGAAGCACGTTTCGAATGGGCCGGGGTTGCGGGTGTCTAGGGATCAGCCAAGACCTGACGTCGTGATTCCTCTCGCTTCGCGGGGTGCACGTCCGGAGCACGTACAGTCCAGTCGTTGTGCGGCCTCTTGGGGGTCTCTTGGGCCTGACTCTTGGGTGCCTCTTGGAGGCCGAGATTCCCCGAAAAGCAGTGCCATCGTCCAACCGCGGCAACGCAGGCTTGGTGTGCCTTGCCTGCTGGAAATCTGAGTCCGTAACAGAGTGGCCTGTCGTTTGCGGCCGCAAGGAAAAATATAACCGGCGCAGTGTGTCGGTGTGAGATGGTTTGACCTGCTCGTCTGCCGCCGCGTGGGTTGCGCACGCCGTTCGGCCGTCTCGGCGTCGTCCAGAGTGCGTGTTGCGCGCATCGTGGAAGTCATCTGGCGCCTCTGGGGCCTCTTGAGGGCCCCTTTGGGCTGTTCGGAAGTAGTTCGGAGCATTTGCAATCCAGTCGTTTGGAGGCCTCCTGGGCCTCTCCGGGGGGATTCCTGGGGTCCTTTGACGTCGTGATTCCTCTCGCTTCGCGGGGCGCACGTCTGGAGCACGTAAAGACTGGGCGTCTGGTGGTTTTCCCTGCGCGTCTGTCGCGCCAGTCTGCCGCGTCGTTCTGCCCGAACTGGGGCGCTGCCAACGCCATTGGGGGCGGATTCCAGCAGTTTTTGTTTTGTGCTTGTTGTTGTTTTGACGTGAGCCCCTGGCCTGTCGTTACGGGCCGCAGGAAAAAGGGGTAGAATTGGCGCAGTGTGGGGGTGTGGGACGGCGTGGCCACCCCGCATGCCGCTGCGTGGGTTTCGCACGCCGTGCATGCCGCGCGGTCGTCTCGGCGTCGGTCGGGGGGCGTGTGGCGCGCATCGTCGAAGTGATCTGGCGGTTCTGGGGCCTCTGGAGGGCCTCTGCGAGCTGCTCAGAGTATGTCAAGCCCAGTTCGTTGGAGACCTCTGGAGCCACTCTTGGGAACTCCTGGGGGCTTCTTGGGGGTCAGTTGGAGTCTCCCTTGGGGGTCTCCCGGGAATTCCTGGAGGTCTCTTGGGGGTGTGTTGAACAGTCTTGGGTGGTTTCTTGGGGCCTCTTGGGGGCTTCTTGGGGGCATTTGGGAGCTATGTGGGGGCCTCTTGGGGGTCTCTTGGGGGCCTCTTGGGGCTTCTTGGGGGCGTCTTAAGCCGTCTTGGGGCGCTCTTGCGCCGTTCGGCCCCTTCGGAGGCTGTCCTGGGGGCCTCTCGGGGCCGCCTTGGGGCGATCTTGGGATCCTTTTGGGCCGTCTTGGGGGCCTCTAGGACCGTCTTGGGGGCCTCTTTGGGTTGGGGCCCGCTTTGGGCCATGTTGGGGCCTCTGGGGGCGCTCTTGGGGGTCCTCTTGGGGCCCTCTTGGGGCGTCATAGGTTTGTTTCAGCCATCTGGGGGCCATCCTGGGCCGTCTTGGGGGCATCTTCGCCCGTCTTGAGGCCATCTAGAGCCGTCATGAGGCCCTCTTGGGTACCCCAAGAGGGCGAACAGGCCGGATTCATTGATTTTTCTATAGGTTTTGGTAGGTTGTTGGGCCCCAGGGGGGGGTCAGGTTGGGTCGACGGAGGTGGCGTACGTAGCGCTGGGGGTGGGTGTGGGGGGAGAGAAATAATGTAACACAATGCAACCTGCACCAATTATGCAAGAACGGCATACATTGAAGTTGTACAACCATTGGACACATCGGATACGTTGCATTGTCGCTTCCGCAGGAAACGCCGCCGCTCTGCACGTCACCTTTGGACGTGGGTTCTGAAGGCTTGCGCCACATTTGCCGACCCTTGGAGTGGCTTGGCGGCGTGCCTGCTGGCGTTTGGGGCCGTCAAAGGGCGGCGGCCGCGGCGTCGAAGCTGTGTCCGTCATTGTGCTGTCGTGAGGGAATGTTGTTGCGTCATGCCAAAATCAGACAATAAACTTTCTGTGGGATCCATTTCGGGCCCCTTCTGGGGGCGTCTTGGGGCGTTTTTGAGCGGTCCTCGGGCTCCGTTAGGGCGGCCTCGGAGGATTGAGGCCGTCGAGGAGCTCTCCTGTGGCCGTGCGGGTCTCTCTGAGAAGTGTCCTGTGACCACTTCGGTGCACTCTTGGGGGTCGTTTGGGGCAGTCTTGGGCCCACTTCGGGCTCGCCTGGGCCGTCTCGGGAGCACCTTGGACCGTCATGGCGCGATGTTTGGGAATTCTGGGGCCGTCTTGGACGCTGTTAAGACCCAAAAAGCGGACAGGTTAATAACAAGCGTGTGTTTCCGTGTAGTCTTCTGATACGGTCTGAGGCCGCCATTGACCCTCATTGCACCCCTCTTGGGCCGTCTTGAACGTACCGTCGGCCGTCTTGGGCGCCTTTTGGGATGTCCTCTGAGCCGAGCCACCCCCTTGGCGAGTTCCCGGGGAGGGGAGTGCGGCCTCCTCTCGGGAGCCTTGAGACAGGGGTCAGTGCAAACGGGGGTCAGCCAGAGCGCCGGAGCCTGCAGGATCCTGCGAATACCCCCTCTGGCTGACCCGGGTTAGCGAGCCGCGAGGCGGCCGCGCATATTGGCTGACCCCGGTTTGCGAAGACCTGCGTTGCAAATCTTTTTTCCTGCATTGCAGGTTTTGGTTTCCTGCTGACCCGGGTCTGGATTGACCCGGGTCAGAAGATCCCCGATCCTCAACCGCGCAGTTTTGGACCTTGGGGAGGGACTTTCAGGGGGAGAGCATCTTACACGCTTGGAGACCCTCAAGGGTTCGGCGGATTTTGCTCGCAACGCGGACCTTGGGATGTCCAAATCCCTTCCTTGGCGCTCGTTTTTACCCCGAGTTGTTTCGAGGGCCAGGTGAGAGCCCCCCAGGGAGGCCGAAAGCTGCCCACGGCTTCCCGTCGTGATTGTTTCGCGGACTTCCGGGGGGGGGGGAAGGAGGATGCGGCCGACGACGCAGAAGAGAAGGGGTCGGCGAAACCAGCTCCCGTCGGCGAAGCCAGCTGCCGTCGGCGAAACCAGCTGCCATCGGCGAAACTGTCCGATCCGACCCGCCCGCTAAGGTCCGCCCGCCCGACCCGACCCTCCGGTGAGGGTTCGCGCGTGCTCGGTCGAGCGTGCCCTACATTTTCATGTCCCGCCCGCCCGACCCGCCCCGCCCGCCAGGGTCCGCCTTCCCGACCCGACCCGCCCCGCCCGCTGGGGTCCGCCCGCCCGACCCGACCCACCCGCTCGGGTCCGACGCCCGACGCCCGACGACGACGACGACGACGACGACGACGACGACGACGACGACGACGGCGCCGACGCCGACGACGGCGCCGACGCCGACGGCGACGACGGCGTCGGCGAAACGAGCGCCGGCGAAACCGGCGCCAGCGAGACCAGCCGCTGGCGAAACCAGCGGGGCGAAACCAGCTCCGACGAAACCAGCGCCAGCGAATCCAGCCGTCGGCAAAACCAGCGGGGCGCAACCAGCGCGAAACCAGCACCACGAAACCATCTCATGCCGAGGACCAGGGGCGACGGCAGGGTGGGGTACAGTCGGACCGAGGTAGAAGATCGAGATCGGTTCGGGGAGGGTGCCCTGATGTTCTTCGTGTTTGTTGGATGTTCTTGTGCATTCTGAGGGGGGAGCACCATCGAATGTTCGTCGGTTTGGGCCGACAGAGGGTCTCATGTTCTTCAGTTATTGAGGGATGTTTTTTGGCCTAGGTCCGACTGTAGTCACCACCCACAAAACCATCCCATTCCAACCCAAAGGCCACAAGTTGCTCTCCGTTCCCAGATGGAGGGCCGTCGTGGAACATTGAACCTGTACCCTCGCCACCTCGAAGTTTGGGTCGTCGGGTTGGGGTTGGGGCCGTCTGGTACGTAGTCAGGTCTGGGGTCAGGGTGGGAAGACATCACTCGTGGATGCGTAAGACTCGAGTAAACCAGAACTCGGGTTTGTCGACGTTCTTTGACGAGCGCGTCCTGGATTTGACGGTCCAGTTTTCGTGGGATGTCTTCAGCGGAAGCTCGCGTGAAATTTTAGATTGGGTCTCGTCATTTTTATGATGGCCACGTCAGGCCAACCCGAGTGCCCCGTACCCGAGTCTTACGTCTCCCCGAATCACCCCCACATCGCCCGTTCATCGCCGATGAGGGCTTGGCAGCCCGCCTCGCCCAGGAGCGTGCGGCATATCGCCGGTATGTCGGCGATGCATCGCCGATTCGAGCTCGACGGTTCCTCCCTGAGCTGCCCCCCCCTCCCTATTCCAGGAGGGAAAACACAGACACAATTAATCGTCGACTCCCAGGAAAAGATTGGAAAATTTGGGAAGTGGGGGGGAAGACGAAAACCCAGAAAAACATTGGAACATATGGGGATTCCTGTTGCTTGTGTTATGATGCTCCAACCTACTTTAGCTTTGATCACCATGAAGAATTTCGAGCGGCCAAACAAATATCGAAACTCAAGGGTTTTCACGTGTCGGGCCCTGGGAGACTCGCCCGACACTGTTTCGACACTTTTTTGTCACTCTTTTGACACTTGTCCGGGTGCTCGAAGTTATTTCTGGGATGTGGTCCTTAAGTAGGATGGGAACATCATAATGTTTGTGTCTGTTTACTTGTGTTTCCCAGGGCCCCTTCACGATTGGCCCCCTCCTCAAGGGAGCAGGGGAAGGTCGAAGAGCACAGGCGCACACGCACAAACCATCGGAGGACCGCACTGAGTGCTCGGGTCGGCGCTTGACCCCCCTGCCGGTCCGCGCGCGTCTCCGAGCGACGATGGCGATGATCCTCCGGATGGGGATCCGAGCGAGGAGGAGGAGGAGGAGGAGGGAGGAGGAGCAGGAGGAGGAGCAGGAGGAGGCAGGAGGAGGAGGAGGAGGAGGAGGAGGAGGGAGGGGAGGAGCAGGAGGAGGAGGGGGACTAGAGGAGGAGGAGGGAGGAGGAGGGCGAGGAGGAGGGGAGGAGGAGGAGGAGGAGGAGGAGGAGGGAGGAGGAGGAGGAGGAGGAGAAGAGATGGAGGGGGAGGAGGAGGAGGAGGAGGAGGAGGAGGAGGAGAGGAGGAGGAGGAGGAGGAGGAGGGGGAAGAGGGTGAGGAGGGGGGGGGGGGAGGAGGAGGAGGAGGAGGAGGAGGAGGAGGAGGAGGAGGAGGAGGAGGAGGAGGAGGAGGAGGAGGAGGGGGAGGAGGACGTCCACCAGCCCCACGGGGCTGCCCGTCCCCCCTCAGCTCATCTCTCCTGCCGTGGCGTCCGCTTCTTGCGCGGATTGCGCATGCGCGTTGCGCTCGGGAGGGTGGGACGAGGGGGACGGTTTTGGGGAGGTAGTGGTTCTCGGGGACGTCCAGCGGGATGGAGGCATTTCGAGGATGAAGAGTCGAGGAAGGCGAGGAATTGTGATGCGTAGGAGGAGGACGGTACGGTCCACGGAAATGCAGTTAGGTCCGAGGGATCCGTGTCCACTTGAAATATAGACACACCGCGTAACCCCACCAGGCCATCCAGAAACGGTGCCCAGGCAAGTTGACTTGACCAGAGTTGGAGGATCATGGAATGGGCTAGAGTACTGGGGAAGCCTTCATACCCCTAGGAAAGGGAGGATGGAGGAGGAATCGGAGAGCAGGAGGATGAGGATGGGGAGGGGGAGGCGGGAGAGAGAAAGGAGGAGGAGAACTAAGCGGACGAGGAATGGGAGGAGGAGGGCGAGGGTGAGCAGAAAGACCAGAGACCTTTTGGATGCCTCTCGGATTCTCTTTGGATGTCCGTTGCGAGCTATTTAGAGTCTTTCTGGGGCGTCGTGGGGCCTCTTGGCGGTCCTGGGATCCCCTTGGAGCGTCTTGGGTGCCTCGGGTGAGCCTCTTAGGGTCTCTTGGGAGTCTCTTGGGGCCTCATGGGGGTCTCTTGGGCGCCTCTTTGGGACCTCTTGGGGGGCATCCTGGGCGCCTCTTGTGGCACCCTTGCGAGCCTTTGGGGGGCATCTTGAGGCCATCTTGAAGGAGTTCGATCACAGAAGGTGGGGGGGAACTAAGTTAGCCCCCCCCCATCCAGGATGCTAACATTGGCCCAACGCCATAGGACACGCAATGCGTTGTACCTTCTCGCTGGGGCCATCTTGCACCCTCTAATGGGTCGAGGCACCCCCTCTTCAGTTCCAGGGGGATGGGTTACCCCTCCCCGAAGGGGACGACGGGACAGCGGGGAGAGGAAACCCTCTTAAACCACCTCCACTAAGAGGGCTGGCGGAATTATCTCGCACGCTACGCGGTGTCACAATGATTATTATTCTGGACCCTCCTGCGTTGGATTCTCGTTTTGAATAGAGCACTGCGGTCACACACACACACACACACCTTCTATCCCTTCTCGTCTCCCCTGCCTCTCTCATCCTGCCGTCTCGCAGCTCCCTGGGTGGCTGCGAACTGCGCCACTGTCGCCACGCGAATTGTGCAAGTGTGACCAATTTCGTGGGCTCCTCGGAAGCACGGCGAAGAAGCGAGGCATCCGAGACTTCGTCCGAGACTTCGTCGCTCCTTGGGTGGGTGCGAACTGCGCAGTTCTCGACTTTTTCGTGGGTTCCTGGGCACGGCGGGGCACAGGAGTACCCTGGACCTCGCAGCTCCCCGGGTGGCTGCGAACTGCGCAACCGTTGCAATTTTCGTTGGCTCCTCGGAAGCACGGCGGAGTAGCGGAGTTCCCGAGACCTCGCAGCTCCCTGGGGGGGGGGTGCGAATTGGGCAACTGTCGCCACTTTCGTGTGCTCCGGGGAGGCACGGCGGAGTGGGGGAGCACGCAGACCGAGCCGAGACCTGGCGGCTCCTGGGGGGGGGGTTGCGCAGTGCGCAATTCCTGCCACTGCCGTGGGTTCATGGGGGGTCAGCGGGGCAGAGTATCTTTGCAACGTGTTTTTGTTGTATGGAGTGTGTCTTTAGATAGTCGACCCGCGTTGAGAGGTGTTTGGGCGCGTCTCGGGTAATAGAATAAACCGTCGTGTTTTCGATATCCCTTGTGCGGAGGAGGAGGAGGAGGAGGAGTAGGAGGAGGAGGAGGAGGAACGGGACATATTGTCTCTATATTGCCCATGTCCCCGCCCAACATCTAAGACCCTCTCTTGCTACTGAGCGTGCCGATCATTTCCTTCTCGATGTTTCTTCATCGAGGTTTCTTTCTTCGATTACTTCTCATCCCACTGTCTTCGACGAGCCGTTGGGGCGCAAGCCCGCCGCCCCTCCTTGCACGACCCCCGCTCCTTCAATCCCGATTTCTGTGGCCTGTTTCATAACGCGTTCTGGCCAAAACTTCGAAACGGATTCAGCCGTGGCGAACAGAGTCTCCGAGGAGACCTTACGAGGCCCAGGTACGTCTAACACATGTTAGATTCGATCCTCCATCCGCGCCGAGCTTCTCCTCCTCCTTTTCCTCCTCCTCCTCTTCCAATTTCACTTTTTCCAACTCCTTCTCCAAATCCTCTCCTCATCCTCATCGTCCTCCTCCTCTTCCTCCATTTCCCTTTCTTATTCCTCATCGCCTGCTCCTCGCTCGCCCCCTCCTCGCCAATGCCGCCCCCAACCCGCTTTCCGGCAGGTGGCCGTCTCGCTCCCGTAGGGGGAGCTCGTGGCGCCCAGATGGAGCAGGATAGGAGTGAGGGGCTGCTCTGGGCTTTTGCCTTCCGAACCAGCCAACACGTGTGCGACATCTGCCGCCGCAGAGTATCTTTCCGTGAACATGAACTTTCGGAGGCCCCGACGTCCGCGTGTCTTGCGAACAGAACGCCCGCCCTCTTTCGAACGGAAAGGCGCGCACGCACAGACACACAAACAGACAGAGACAGACAGACATGCATGCAGACAGACAGACAGACAGACATACAGACAAACAGACAAACAGACACACACACACACAGACACACGCGCACACACAAACACACAGCTGACACTTTGGCGGAAGGAGATGTCGTCGAACGACCGGCGCCTCGCTCCCCGCCTCTCATTCCCTTGCAGACCGTAGAATCTGAGTTTGAGCATTTCACGCCTGGCCTCCGATCCAATCGCGCCCACGTTCGTTGCGTTGCGGCGGCGCGGAGCCCCGTCGCTGCCCTCTTGCAGGGCCCGCCGCTGCAACAGCGCCAGCGCTTCGCGCCGGGGCGGGCCGACCTCAACAAACGTTGCAAAGTGCGGGGCCGATCGCTCCCGTCAGGATTCCTACAAGCACCCCCGGCACAGCGGACCGACTGTCGCCCGTTAGCCACGGGGGTCCCACGACGCACACACACGCGCACGCACACACACACGCACGCACGCACACCCACGCACCCACGCGCGCACGCAGCCGCGCGCGCACGCACGCACGCACGCGCACACAACACACACGCGCACACGCGCACGCACACGCGCGCGCACACGCACACGCGCACGCGCACGCACACGCGCACGCGCGCGCGCGCACGCGCACGCGCACGGGCACGCGCGCTCGCACGCACGCACGCGCGCACGCACGCGCACAGGCACACACGCACACACGCACACCGCACACACGCACGCACGCACGCGCCACACGCGCACGCACGCACACACGCACACACGCACGCACGCACGCACGAACGCACGCACGCACGTACATACAGACACCGACTGTTGTCCGTCGGGGGCTGCCTTGCTACAGGCGGCGCGCCGACGAGCGTTGCACATGAGGGTGCCGATCGCCCCCCCGCGGACTTGCACCTCAAGGTGGGCGCGTCGGTATCATTGCGTCCTCCCGCGTCTCAATCCACAATCGCAAGGCTGCGTGCCGAACAACTCACAACAACACCTACGTGTCGTGCGTGAGTCCACCCTTCCCTGCCTCCCCCTCGTCATGGGCCCATTGTTTGTGCTGTCGCTGCTATCCCCCGTCCTCATTTCGTGCAGCCGCAAACTACCCCCCAAAACCTCCGACGTCGCGATTTCCTCGCAGTTTGGTTCCCCAGAGGTCTGGATGGACCCCGACCCGGGAATTTGTTTTTCACACCGATTCGTTTTTTTGGCAACCCCAGTGCCTGGGCCCAGACATCCGGCGTCTCGATTCATTCGGGGTCCAGGCCCCCGACCTCTCGACCTTCTCCCAGGGATCGGTTTTCATCCCGCGTCGTTTTTTGACTGTCCCGAGGCCCGGCGAGGGCCCCGAGAGGCAGAACGCCAATCATGAAACATTTCCTCCCCGATTTTTTCGGAACGCCCGATGTCGAAGGAGGGCGCAGAAGTCCCAAATTTGCCCGTCGCGGTGCTTTCTTGCAACGCGGGAAGGTCTGGGGCCTGTCCCCCCCCTCCTGACCTCCTTTCCCCTCTGGCTTCAAATTGCTGCAGACACGAAGCGGTGGAAGGATGGGGAAAAAGGATTTCTGTGATACGACGTCATGACAGTCACCCTGTGCTTGAACACGTGAGGCGCTACGGTGTCATCCGCCCGCGCCCCCTGGTGGTCTGGGATCCTTCCGCCAGTTGTTGTTGTTTTTTTTTCTCTCTCTCTCTCTCTCTCTCTCCCCAGACATGCGACGCCCTGATTTTTTCAAGCCGGCGCCCCCAGAAGTCCCGACCCTTTTCCCGGGGCCGGTTTTTCATCCTGTGTCGTTTTGGACGGCCGCAGGGTCCAGCGAGGGCCCCCAAGGGCCGAAAGTAACGAAAAATCGGTTGTCCTGATTTTTTTTTTTAAACGCGATCAAGTCTGGGTCTCTTTCTCTCTCTCTCTCTCTCGCGTTTTTTTTTTTTTGTTTTCTCTCTCTCTCTCTCTCTCTCTCCCATTCTCTCCTGACCACTTCTGCCCCGGGAAAGGTGATCTGCCTGCTCCCGCACGGGGAGCCCCCGGTGCCAGGCTGGGACGGGCTGGACCAGGACGCCCCGGGGGGGGGGGTGCTCGGCCGCGCCGCGCGTCTCGGCGGCGACGACAGGGGCGAATAGCCCAGGGCCCAGAAACCCCCGGGCAATGAAAAAACCATGACGGTAGGTGTTTCGCCATTTCGGGCGTCCAGGGGCCTCTGCCGGACCACGGGGCCGTCAAAGAACGTTTCAGGACGAAGAACCGGTCCCGGGGAATGGGTCCAGACCTTGGGGGTCGACGTAATGAACAAATCATGACGTCGGGGGTCTGGAGGGCGGGCATTACACGCGCATTCCTCCGGGAGCCTCGCCGAAGGCATGGACCATCGACGCCCCTGAATCCATGTCCCCTTTTGGGCAATGCGCCCCCATCGTGGCCCCCGAACGCCCAGAAATCCGACGCTCCCGCAAAAGTTGGAGCGGGCGGTTTCTGGCCGTTTCGCGGCTTCCGGGGGCCCTCGCCGGGCCTCGGGGCCGTCCAGAAGCGACCCGGGACGACGGACCGGCCCTTGGGAAGTGGTCCGGACTTCCAGGGGCATCGAGAAAATTGGAGCGGCCAGATGTCTGGGATGCTGGCCATTGTCCGCGGCCGCGTGCGAGCCCTGCCCCTTCGGGTCTAACCGTTCCCTTTGGGTTTCTTGATGTCAAACTGCTTGACGCCATCTGTCAAGAAACCGCTCGGGCCAGGGTGCCCTGGGCTTCTTCGTTTGCAACCGAAGTTCAAGAAACCCAGCCCTGGACCAAGAAACCTCGGCGGATACCAGGGTTGGGTTTCTTGCGGTGGGTTTCTCGTGCATCGACCCCCATTGTATCGGTCACTCCCATTAGGGTTCACATGGCTGCAGACATCCATCAAGTTATGAAGCCAAATGCTTTTTCTGAGTTCTGACCTGCAGGGTCGGACTCACATGTGATTCCCTGCATCGTCCGCGCACACCGACCGTGGGCAGGCCAGTCCCTGAGATCTGACGTCGCTAACAAAAATGCAGCTTCGTTAGACCCAGGGCCAAGACCTGCGGATCCCGTCGCAGAGAGCCAGGGGCTCGAGTCTGGGCGAAATCGCCGGTCATGGAAACGTCGCGACGCCAGAACCTCGGGGGCCCTCGGAGGCCCTCACCTCCGACGTCACATGTTTGTCCGTGAGGCCAGCTTTTGTTCCTGAGTCTTGATTGGCGGTCCTGGGGTAGCAAAGTTGCTTCCAGAGGCCGAGGCTGCCGAAAGTCCAGCCGCCACGATTTCTATGCGATGCCCAGATCTGAAGGGACTCGCAGAAACCATAAATCCGCAGGATTGTTCCTCTCCATCGCGGCGTGTGCCCTCCATCTCGGCCTCCAGGGGCCATTTCTAGAACCCTCGAGACGTCAAGTTTGGATCCAGCACGAAAGGCTGCCTTCCGAGTAAGACTGCCCCCCGAGGAAGGATTTTAACAACCTCATCGCCAGATGCCGGGGAGGGGGGCTGCAGAGTGAGTGGGGGGGTCGTACGGGGGGGGGGCCCTTAGGAAAGGGCAGGGGGGCTTCTCAGAGGCCCTCCCGTCTCCACGGAGCTTCCCCTGCAGCAAGGAGCCCTCGATCCCTGCTTTGGCTCGGCGCGGCGGGCGTCGGGGGGGAAGTGAAAAGGAGAAGGCCTTCTCAGAAAGCGGCGGGACTTCTCAGAAGCCCTGTGCCTTCTGAACAGTTTTTGCGTCTTGGGGGAAGGCTTAGAAAACTCCTCAGAAGGCCGGGGAACTTTCGAGCCTTGAGAAGGCCCGCCCCTTCTCACTTCCCCGCCGGTCCCGCCGCCGAATTGCATATGGAGGCCCCCTGCGCCATCGAAAGGGCCGGCCCCTCCTCACAGGTGGCCTCTGGCCCCGCAAATCCCCGAGTTGCCCTCGAAAAGCCAAGTGGTTCAGAGAGCATGAGCAAGACGGGGATACACCTTCTGGGGGCTATTAGGACGCACCCCTCTCCAGGATGGGCGCCCCCCATTGCATATCCCAGAGTTGGGCCCACAGTATCTGGTCTGGCTGAAAACCCCCAAAGCTGGGGATTGGGGTCGCCTTGCACCTCGTTACCTGTTCTTCTTGGGCAAGCTGTTGGGTCTCAGGGACCCGAAGCGTCAGCAGAGGCGGTCGCTCAGCAGCAGCCGCCACAAGGGCAAGAAAGGCGTGCCTTGCACAGGGGGAGCAGGAGCTCTCGGCGGTACCACGACAGTCGCCACCAATACAGGTCGTTCTGGGGAAGCCGGATGCACCACGAGACACCACTCCCCTCGTCACCTCTGAGATGGATGTTTTCTCCAGCGCTAGGCCTGGTTCGGGTGGAACCGTCGCCCCTGCCAGGTTTGAAACCTGAGCCAAAAGGCTGTGGAGAACAGAGGGCGCAAGCTGCTCCCTGCCTGCTGCTACCCTCCCTCGGCTCTGTACTCGAGTCGGCCTGAGAGAACTTGAGTCGACCACTCCCCTCGCGATCCGCCGACTGCGATCCGCTCAGGGCCCCGACTGCGATCCGCTCAGGGCCCCGAGGGCGAGGTCCCAAAGGCAAACAAAATCCTCCCGAGAGGTTCCCTAAGAGAGGAACGACATCCATCCTTGACGACATCCTTGACGACGACCGACGACGACGACGACGACGACGACCACGACGACGGCCGACGACGACGACGACGACGACGACGATCCGACCCCCTCCCAAATCCTGCCCCGACTGCGATCCGCTCAGGGCCCCTCCCGGGGCCCCTCCTGGCCGGCCGTCCGAGCCGAGCCCCACCGTCCCGAGGGCCCGGGCGTCGCGCTTCTGCTTCGAGCCCCGTCTGGGCGCTTTTTCTCCGGCCGAGGGAAGCAACTGCTGAATCCTCCCCCCCTCCCCCCTGCTCCTCCTGCTCCTCCTGCTCCTCCTCCTCCTCCTCCTCCTCCTCCTCCTCCTCCTCCTCCTCCTCCCCTCCTTCTCGACCCCGCGGGGGGTCGACGGCGGACTGCTGTCTGGCCCGACGGCCCTGGCGGGCCCCCGCGGCGTGGGGGTGGGCCGCGGGCCAGCGGGAGGAGTTGGCACGCGCGGGGGAGACTGCGGTCGAGGTGCAACTCCTCAGACCCACCGCCAGCGTTGAACATTGGGGATTTGCGTTGTTGATCAGCTGACATTCATGCCCATGGGCTGCCACAGCCCACGGCACCAACGCGAACGCGAGCGCGGGGAGGGGGAGGCGTTGACAGATGAACGTGGCATGGGTGTTCGCTATGTTTCTCCGAGGCCCGTCGCTCGGCCGCGTGGCCATACGGCGCCCTCTCGGATCTCTCTGGCTGGCCCGAAAAGGATCGACTAACTACAGAATTGAGATTCACCCCAAACTCGATTTTTCAGTCGACTCCTCACGAGCACTGCGAGGATTGTCTCGTCGATCTACGAGCTTTCTGCGCATGTGTTGTAGATCCTACGAGAAGGTCGTACTCGAGAGATGTCGCAGAAAGGTGGGGTCAAGGGCCCCGGTCGTGAGCTTCTACGGTGCATCATGCTGTTCCCACGGCGTCGGCTCTCAGGACGTGGTGACGAGGTCTCCCAGAAGTGCGCCACAAGATAGCCAAGTCGACGACGATCGACGACGCCGACAAGTACGACGGCGACGACGAACCTACGACTGCGACGACGAACCGACGACGACCACGACCACGAGACACTGAGAGGCCGAAAACTATGAACAGCCGGCGTCTCGATTCTTGTTCGAGACGCCCCATGTTTGGGACGACGGCCGACGACGACCGACGACGACTACCGACGACGACGACGACCGACGACGACGACCACGACGACGACGACGGCGACGACGACGACCGACGACCAGCGGCCGACGACGACGACGACGACGACAACGACGACGACCACGACGACGACGACGACGACGACGACGACGACGACGACCGATGACCACGACGACGACGGCGGCGACGACGATGACGACCGACGACCAGCGAACTGCGACGACGACGGGCCGCCCTCCGAGGACGGGCTGCCCGAGGTCTGCGGCCTGGAGCCGGGGTTGCTGGCCCCGCAGGCCGCTGCCCGGGCGGCGGCCAGCCCCGCGGAGGGCGGAGGGGCGCATCGGGGGCGGCAAAGAGGGGGGTGACGACTAGGGGGGGGGGGATATCATGGCGTGGGCCATGATGTCTCCTCAGATTTCATGGCGCTTCTTCTTATTTCATTACGTGCCTGGTTCCCCCCCTTGGGCCGCGCACGTGCCGCCGGCCATGATTTGTACCCCCCCCTCTTGGACACCCCCCTCTTGGCCGCTCCCGAGCGCAGGTTCGACCAGACGTGAGAGGCACCTTTCGCTGGAGTGACTTTCCCAGGCCCCTTCGAGCAACGAGAAAATCACGGCGGGAGGTGTTTCGCCATTTTCGGCCTCTGGGGGCCCTTACCGGGCCTCGGGACCGTCAAAAAACTACTCGGGATGAAAAACCGGTCCCGGGAGACAGGTTCAGATTTCGGGGGTCGACGTAATGAAAAATCATGACGTCGGGGGTTTGGGTTTGGTGCGGGCACAGACAGGTCTCCAGATGGCTGAAAGAGAAGCGGCAGCAGCGGCTTGCGCGCTTGTGTTTGCCCCCCCCGCGGCTCCCAACAAAAAGCGCTCACCAAAGGTCACTCTTGCCCAGGATGACTCCTGCGTGTAGCCGACAGATAAGACGAAGCCAGAATCGAGACAAAATCGGACCGACACAACTACTTCGGGAACATCTCTAAGAATCGGCGGGTTTGGCGGGCGCCGCGGCCCTTGCAGAGCGTTCCAGAACGCCCCCTTAGGCGGAGGGCCGTAGGAGGGCGGCCTGCGTCGGCGTTCCCAGGCATCTGGCGTCTCGCAGAAATCTGGATGGCGGTTTTTCATCGTGTTCGGCCTCTCCCTCGGGGCCCTCGCCTGGCTTGGGTATCGTTAAACAGCGGCTCCGAACGAGAAACCGGTCCCCGGGAATTGGGCTGAAGTCGGGCATGTCTCTTTGCAGGAGGAGTGTTCAAAAATAGTTGAAAAATAGTCCGGGGACGATTTTTTGATTTGTTTCGATTCTGTTTGAGTGCTGTTTTACTAATTATGTTTCGTCCAATACCCGCCTGTAGGAGGACATGCCCGACCTAACACCTGGGCGAGAGGTCGGGAGCCCGCGTCTCGACAAGATCGAGGCGGAGGAGGTTTGGGAGGCGGAGGGCCGCTGGAGGGCGGGCCTGCGTCGGCGTTCTCTGCGGCCAGGAGCTCTGGCTCGGGGCGTCGCTCATGCAATTAGCGTCACCATCATCCTGGCCATCATCATCATCATCATCATCATCATCATCATCATCATCACCACCACCACCATCATCATCATCATCATCATCATCACGATCACCATCACCATCACCATCGCCATCACCATCACCATCGCCATCATCAGCATCAGCATCACCATCATCATCAGCATCAGCATCATCATAATCAACATTACCATCAACATCATCATCATCATCATCATCATCATCATCATCATCATCATCATCATCATCATCATCATCCTGGTCATCATCACCATCACCATCACCATCTTTATCACCATCACCATCATCATCAGCATCATCATCACCATCAACATCACCATCATCATCAGCATCACCATCATCATCATCATCATCATCATCATCATCATCATCGTCATCATCACCATCACTATCTTCATCACCATCACCATCACCATCACCATCATCATCAGCATCATCACCATCAACATCATCATCAGCATCATCACCATCAACATCATCATCGTCATCGTCATCATCAGCATCAGTATCATCATCATCATCATGATCATCATCATCATCATCATCATCATCATCATCATCATCGTCATCATCATCATGTCCTGGGCCCCTTCCTCTCTTATCCTCTTGCTTCCGTCCTCCTCACCCTCGTCCGCTTCCTCCGCCTCCTCACCCTCCTCCTCCTTTACGCGCGCCAGTCGCCAGGAAGGAGTCCCAGCGACGCGCGCGGGCTGTCCGCGGCACGGGGCGGAAAAATAACCTCCATCATCCCGCCTCACTTTTTTCTTCTTCCCTCATTCCTCACGTTCCCCAATGTATTCTCCCGATTCTCTTCCTCCTCCTCCTCCTATTTATCATCATGCTATTCCGTGTCATCCCTTCCAGGCAGGCAGGCAGGCAGTCGCGTTCGGCCAGCTTCAATATTCCGACGGCCCGATGTGGCCTTATGGTTGCATGATGTAGTTGTGGATCTTGGCGCGGCCCATCCGATTCGATCCCGACTCCGTGCCGACGCACATTCCGTTCTGACCCGCATTCCCGATTCGATCTTGACTGACTCTGTCCTCCTCACCCTCATTTCTCTGTCTCTCTCTCTCTCTCTCTCTTTCTCGCGGTCTCTCTCCTCCCTCCCTCCTCCCTCGTCAGTAAGATCGGAGGAGTGCCATTTGAGACAACGGCGGCTCTCCCGCCCGGATCAAGTCTGGTCAAGATCACTCCCTGGACCCGTCCCAGGGTCCATCCGTACCCGTACCCTCGAGGCAGATCCAGTCGTGGCGACGAGAGACCTCCAAGAGTCCCCAGAGGGCCGCTGCTGTCTTCGGCGAGGCATCCCTCCAGGCCTCCGACGTCGCGATCTGTCCGCAACGCGGGCCCCCAGAACTTCGGAACCCTTCCCCAGGATCACACGAGGCCAGCCTGAAACAGACCTCCATCCCAATGTTTGGCATCGCCTTGTCGCGATGTTGATGTTCAGGATGTCCTCAGTTTCTGAGGCGCATTCCTAAGATTGTCGTGGCATATGGGCCTGCTCATCTTAGGGAAAGGGATACGCTCGAGGCTTGTTAGCACAGTCCCCGTTCGGTGCCCAGAGGCCGCAAGTTGTCGAAAACCATGTGCCGTGGATTTTCGTGTCGCGATGAGGTCCGGCCCTCCCCCGAGCAAAGGCGTGTAAGTTCGACCCCGGCCCCGTGGTGGTGCCGCTGCGGCACGCGCGGCTGGCGCTGGTGAGGGTGCTGAAGAACCCCAGCATCCGGCCACCGGGCAACTCGGTCACCGGGGGGGAGGAGGGGGGGGGCTCCCCGCGTGTCGCTCCTCCAGTTCTGGCCCACACTTCGACGTGACGCGCTGACCACTTCCCGGTCCCCGAACTAACGCCCCGAGCTTTCCCGAGCCTCCCGCCTCGCAGGTCGGAGCGACACGCTATCCGCTTGCAGGGCATAGCGTGTCGCCAGGGCCGCCGCGACACGCTAAGCAGACGTTCCCGACCGTATCGGGGGCAACGTTAGGGGTGAGGGCTCAGGGAGGAGTCCATCGACCCCCAATCATCCATAGATCGCAGATAGAGGCCCGATGGCCCGTCTCGCCCATGGAAGTGCGGATTCGCTGTCGGGGCCTATCTCCGATCTATCGACGATGTTTTGCCGCTTCTGGGTCGATGGTTCTGGCCCTGAGCCTGCCCCCCCCCCGTCATGATTCAGGAGGGGAAAAAACACAGACACAATTAATCGACGATTCCCAGGGAAATATAGGAAAATATGGGAAGTGGGGGGGAAGACAAAAACCAAGAACATATGAGAAAATATAGGGGAATCCTGTTAATTTGTGTGTATTTATTCGTGTGTCCCAGGGCCCCTTCAATGATCGCTCCCCCACAGCTCGTGGCTGCAGGCCTCCTCTCCTTCTCCTGCTCGTCCTCGCCTCCTCACGGCCGTCGTCGTCGTTGTCGCCGTCGCCGTCGCCGTCGCCGTCGCCGTCGTCGTCGTCGCCGTCGCCGTCGCCATCGTCGTCGTAGTCGTCGTCATCGTCGTCGTCGTTCCTCATGGATGCATCCTCCTCCGCCTCCTCCTCCTCTGACTCCTCTGCCTCCTCCGAGGGAGGGAGCGGGCCAAAGCAGCTCCCTCGCTGGCGGCAGCGGCCTCGCACTGCGGAAGACCTGTGCCACGTAGCCATGACGGAGGCGAGTCCTGAGGGAAACGGGCACTGTTGGGATGGCCGCTGCAGTTGCTAAGGGGGGCAGGGGGCTTAGAAACGGAGGCTAGGGTGGCGTATCTGTTTGTATATACATATATACATATATCCTCTTGAAGATTCAGATTGAGAAATGTGCCCAGCACACTCTAGTGTCACGCCTCTAGAGGCACACACGTTCTTCCTCTCTAGAGTCGCGACCGCCTCTCTCTAGTGCCCCTTCTAGAAGCCCCATCTAGAGGCCCTTTGGGAGGCCCCTCCAGAGGCCCTTCTAGAGGCATCTCTAGACACGCCTCTAGGGGCCCTTCGAGCCACCAAACGTATGCTCTACTTCATCGGGTCTTGCAAAGCTTCCCGCACACCCCTCTACTCTTTACACACTTCTAGAGTCCCCAAATTGTCCTCAGTCCAGCTACGCCCCCTAGAGAACGCACGATCGCTGCTCGCCAACCCCATTTCGAAGAAACAGAAACGAAGGAGCAGGAGGAGGAAGATACGAGGAAGGGGCACAGAAGTCACAGAAGACAGAGACAGATGTGTCTCACCTTTCGTACCCTGTCCGCCTCCAGACCCTCCGCGAGCCAACGGCTGGATCTGCTTCGACATTCGCTTCCACCCCCCATGTCGAAGAGACAGAAACGAAGGAGCAGGAGAATGATGATACGAGGAAGGGACACAGAAGACGCAGACACGATGATGATGAGGAGGAGAATGATGATACGAGGAGGATGATACGATGATGCTCGCCTTTCGTATTCTGTGCGCCTCCAAAACCTCCGCGTGCCAACGCCTGCTTCTGCCTCGCACTTCCAACCCAAACGCTCCAGAAACGCCCACGTGCCAACGGCAGGGTCTACCCTGAAATTTTCACCCCGACCGCACCTTCCAGGGTCGTGGTCTGAACGCCTCTGCCAACGCTCGATGTTTCGGCCCAGGGCCCACTTCTCTCCCCCGCGGCACCCCTTCCAGCAGCTGCGCCATGCCGACGCCGCTGCAGGCGGTGCCCGAACCGCCCCGAACGGCCGCCCAAGGCCCGAGCTCCCGCCTCGAAGCGCCGACCCCGGCGCACCCCTGGGACAACCCCCAGTTCCACGTTTCACGCTGGACCCTGCGTTCGAGGAGCGTGGTTCGGGGCGGTTCTGTGAGCTTCTGGCACTTCCCTCCGTGGAGGTGGCCCGGAAACTTCAGATCATGATCACCGCACGGGCACGGGTCTCGGCGTAGAACAAGCCCCGCCAACAGTTCCCCCATGAAAATACTCCTGGCGAAAGGATGCGCCCCCGGAGAGAGAGAGAGGGAGAGAGAACACGGTCATCGCTCCCCCGGCCCCTCCTCTGCGATGCCTCACGGCCCGCAGACCTCCGCCAGCGCAGAACCTACACAGGATACGGTTGGGGGCGTTGGTGAAGGATGGTGTCCAGGAGGCCTCCAACCCTGGAGGGTCCTCATCCGATGAGGGCGGTGGGGATACCCATGGCCGGCCCAGAACTGGACATCCACTGGCTCCCAGACCTTGGATTCATCCGTAGAAGACTTATATCCACCACGCGGAGCTCCGCCGAGGAGGTGTCAGACCTAAAAGTCCAGACCCCCGACGTCATGCTTTGTTCATAACGTCGAGCCTCAGCGGTCTCGACCCAAGCATCCGCCAGCACATGTGCGACACGCCGGCGTCCACCCAGGATGGCCGGCGTGTCGCACATCAAATGTTTCTTTGTCCAAGGTCTCCGCCGTACGAGCCGCGTTGGCACATGAGAGCGCCTGCAAGCACGTTTGGGTTTCCGCGGCCAGCGCGGCTGAAGCGTGTCGGCGCTTCTGCAATGCGTGCTGCCAACGCCTCCTGCCTCGATTCTCTTTCTCTCAGGGAGCCCTCGGGAGGCCTTGCCGAGGCTTCACCATGTAGAATGACCCCAGAATGGCTCCACACGTGCCCCACATGGCCGGCTGACGAGGCCAACGGGTCCCCAGGCGGCCTAGGAGCGATCCGAAACGCGTCCCCCCATGACTCGAAACGCTATGGTCATACGTCGCCTGTTGGGTTTTGTCAAGGATTTTGACGAATTCGCTTTTTCGGCTTGCGGACGCTCCGCGTCCCATCAGAACCCGAAACGCTAAGATCACACTTTCCCCTTTGAGTTTTTGAAGGACTTTGACGTTTTCGTTTTTCTGGCTTGCGGACGCTCCACTACGCCCCCGCGCGCCCCTAATACCGCCCCAAAGAGACACGGGGGGCGCCCAACGCGACCCCGAGACAGCTCAACGGAGCGACCTGGACCACCCAACAGGTCCCACAGATGGCTTCTGACGGCCCATCGTCCGAGCAATTTGAGCGCGCTTCCTCCTCGCCAATCGCCATTATTCGCTCCCGCGCCAGAGCCGCCTAATGAATCAATGGTTCGACGGCGCAGCGTAGCAAGCCGTAGAAAACTTGTGTATCGATATACATTTGTGTATATATATATATGTGTGTGTGTGGCCAAATGCAGAGTGCACTTGGATTGCATGTGGCCTGAGTGGTTTGGGGGGGCTCGATAACTCCGCTAGGTGCTAAGTGGGCCGACCCCTCTTAGCCCGAATCGCTAGCCCCCCCCTCAGCAAGGGCGTCGCAGAGTAAGCTGTGAAGACGTATCGAGCGGGAACCGTTGTCGTCTTGGCTGGGCTTTCACACACTTGAACGAATTGCGAGTACGTCTCGGGCGAGAGATCGCGGTTCCGGAATTCGAGCACCACTCTGGCCAGGGCGCTTCGGAGTAAATGTGAGGAAGTGAAGTATCCAGCGGGAGCCGTCGTCTTCGCAGTTGGGCCTTCGCCGACCTGAGCGGAACGCAAGGAAGTCTCGAACCAGAGCTCCGTTTCTGAATTTGAGGGCGTCTCTGGCCAGGGCGTCTCGGGGTAAATCGTGGGTAAGGATCCAGCGGGAGCCGTTGTCGTAACAGCTGGGTCTAGACCATTTTGTTTGAATTACGATCAGGTCTACAACGAGAGCGCCGTTCCTGAGTTTGTGGGCCTCTGTGGCCAGGGTGTCCCGGAGTAAACAGTGAAGAAAAATCGAGCGCGAGCCGTTGTCGTCGCAGTGGGGCCTTCAACAACTGGGATTTGGATCCAAGCCCGCGCTCGAGCGGGAGATGCAGCCGGCGTCGAGGCGAGAGCGCCCCGAGGCGTATCCATAAATCAACAATAATGATAGGTATTCTAGAAATGGGTGTTCAACAACCATTAGATTAAGATTGTTCGCTCTTCGTTGATTGTGTCATCCAACATGTATACCACACGTCTCTCGATACCCGTCCTCTTCGCCTTCGGCTGTAACCCCTTCTTCGGGTCATATTTTCCTTGCCTGCCACATGTGGTTGGCGCGCCCTATAATAGGAGGACGAGGAGGACGAGGAGGAGGAGAAGGAGGAGGAGGGAAACGGAAAAGGGAAAGAGCGAGGCAATGGGGAGGGAGCGAGAAACAATAACAACGACAGTCATGTTTGCAAGCGGGCACTGACGGCCCGGTCGGGCGGGTCGGCTCTGCCTGGCGGGTCGGGCGGGTGGACCCTGATTGCGTGTCGGGCGGGCGGGGCAGGAAGGCGGGAGGGCGGGCTCCCAGGCACGCGGACCCGCGGACCTCGACGGGCCTGCCGGGCGTGCGGATCCCAGGGGGCGGGACGAGCTGGCAGACGCGAGCGGGCGCGGCGGGCGGGCAGACTCCAGCGGCCCTGGCGACCGGGCGGGGGCGGGGCACTGCAGCGGGCGGGCGTGCTTCAAGCAGGCGAGCGGGCGGACCTTCCCGGGCGGGCCGGGCGGGCAGGCACTCACGGGCTGGGTCGGGCGGGGGCGGGCCGTGACGAGCGGGTCGGGCGGGCGAGGCATTGAAGCGACGTGGTGTTGGGTCCTCGTTTTGAGGAGACGGTCCCCGCGTTCACTTCTCCCTCCCCCGTCATCTCCCATCCGCGCCTCTCCTCCCATGCCTGCCACTGTTCTTCGCGTGTCCATTTCGGTACACCCCTGACACGGTTCGTGGCCCCATAGGGGGCCCCGCCGAAGGCCCCTGTGGCAGGGTCGGCATGTCGCCGCCGCCGCATTTCGGCACACC